CTGCCACCTGGTCCACTCTCTGCAGGCCAGAGCGCTTAATGCTTCCAGGTAATGGCGGTGAACATCACAGGCCAGAGACCAAGAACTCACTCCAGACTCACTGAGCTCCTGCAGATCCAGGCGCTGCTCCAATGTTGAGGGGTCACAGTGTGCCAGACCCAGGGGCTGCTTCCCTATTGCTCACTCCCTGGAGTTTCTTCTCTGCCAGTGCCCACCCATCCATCCCCAGTGTTGACTGGACATGCCAGCTCCTCCCTTCCTTCTCTGTCCTAACAGTGTGTTCAAAAGCAGGTAAGCAAGATCCTGGTCCATGGGATGTGAGTTTTCAGATACTGGGGGTGAGTCTGGGGAATATTGTCTTCACTGGTCAAGAGACATAGGCAGAGTAAGGCCCCACCTTCAACTAGATGCAGTCAAGTTTACAGAATGATGGCAGCCAGTGATGCCAAATCTGAGGATAAATTTGCTATAAATGAAATGCAAATATGCTAATATGCTGAGAATGGCAACAAGAATAAGGTCTTGGTCATTGATGACACTGTCAGGGCTGTGGGCTCCCCTGCACCGGCCCTGCTTCTGAACTTCCTGTTAAGTTAGGCTTTTAAGATGCCTTTCTTTTGCTAGTAGAATAGAATACCACAGTAATAAAGATCATTGCAGACAAGAGTCATGGATGGGTTTGAGAGGAGGCAGGATATTTGCACTAACTATATCTTCTGCAAGAGTGACTAAGGACAATGGGAAAACAGGAACTTTGCAATGGAGAAACTCAGAAAACACCAACTTAACCAAGTGACTAAACATTGCCAATCAGGAAGAATTAACATTATTAAAATGTCCATTCTACCAAAAGCAACATACAGATTCAACATTATTCCAATAAAAATCTTAATGACATTCTTCAAAGAAATAGAACAAATACTGATGAAATTCATATGGAACCACAAAAAACCATGAATAGCTAAAGCCCTACTGATGAAAACAAAGGAAAAAGGAAGTATCACATTTCCAAACTTCAAGCTATATTACAAAGCCATAATAATTAAAACAGTTTGGTATTAGAAAAAAAAACAGACACACAGACCAATGGAACCAAATAGAGAGCCCAGAAATAAAACCACACTTATATGAACAACTGATCTTTAACAAATGAGCAAAGACTATGCAATGGAATATGGACAGTTTATTCAATAAATGGGGCTGGGAAAACTGGACCACCACATGCAAAAAAATGAAACTAGACCACTACCTCTCACTGTGCAAAAAAATCAACTAAAAATGGATAAAATAACTGGACATAAGACCTGAAACCATAAAATATAAAGAATATAGGTAAAACACTACAAGACATACATAGCAGTAACATCTTTAAAGACTCATCACCCAAAGCAAAGAAAGTCAAGGAAAACATCAACAGCTGGGATTACATCAAACTGAAAAGCTTCTGCACAGCAAGAGACATTAACCAAAACAGAGAGACACCCCACTGATTGGGAAAAAATCTTTGCACTCCAGTCAACTGATAAGGGACTGATCACAAAGATATACAAAGAACTCACAGGACTCAACCAAAACAAAATAAACAATCCAGTCAAGAAATGGGCAGAAGAACTTAAAAGACATTTCACTAAAGAGGAAATGCAAATGGCCAGCAGGAATATGAAAAAATGTTCAATATCCCTGATAATCAGGGAAATGCAAATTAAAACCACATTGAGATACCACCTTACACCAGTAAGAATGTCACATATCAAAAAACAAGCAACAACAAATGTTGGCGAGGATGTGGTGAAAAAGGAACTCTCCTACACTGCTGTTGGGAGTGCAAATTGGTCCAACCACTATGGAAAGCTGTGTGGAGATTCCTCAGTCTACTAAAAATGGAGCTACCATATGGCCCAGCAATTCCACTCCTAGGGATCTACCCAAAGGACACAAAAACATTGATTCAAAAGAACCCCCGTATACCTGTTTTTATTGCAGCACTATTTACAATAGGTAAAACCTGGAAACAACCCAAATGCCCCAAAATAGATGACTGGATCAAGAAGATGTGGTATATATACACAATGGAATATTATTCAACAATCAAAAAAGATAAACTCATGCCATTCGAAGCAACATGGATGGAACTAGAAGGAATTATGCTCAGTAAAATAAGCCAGAAGGAAAAAGAAAAATATCGGATAGTTTCACTTATAGCAGGAATATAGGGAAACCCAACAAGACATCAGTGTAAAAAAATAATAACAGTACCAAGCACAGCAAAGCAAAAACGGACAATTATAAATCAGAGACATACTGCAAGGAACAGGAGGGAGAGGGATCAGAGGGAGGGAGGGAGTGAAGAGCACAGGGGACTGAGGTGATGGTGCACGGGTGCATTGGTGTAGGAAACTCTATGGGCACTACATCCGAGGGTGTGGGGGAAAGCAAATATTGTTTAAAAATGAACAATGATGGAAAAAATTTTAAAAATTATATTAAAAAGAAATTTAAAAAACATTGCCAATCATAAGAAATGTCAGTGTCATTCCCCACCCCCAGTGAACTGAGAAAAGCATCTTGCCAAAGATGTGAACCCTCAACCAAATCATGAGAGTGAGTGAGACAAACCCAAACTGACGGACATTCTAAATAATAGTGACCAGTGCTCTTCAAAATTGTCAAGGTCATTAAAGATTGTAGCTGTCACAGACTGGAGGAAATAGAAAGTTGTGACAATTAATTGCAGGGTGGGTTCTGGGATTGGATGTGAAATCTAGGTAAAGCCTGTCATTAGTTAATAGTACCACACCACTTAATTTCAGCCTTGATTACTGTACTATGGTTATGCAATACGCTGATATTAGGGGGAACTGAATAAAGAGTATATAGGAATTCCCTGAGTGAGTTTTGCAACTTCTCTCTAAGTCTAAAATTATTTAAGTTGCAAAAAACTGAGGTAAGGAGGTTCTACTAAATTGTTACCAAAAAGTAGAAATTTCCCCATTTCCTGAGTTTACCATAGTGAAAATTACTCAGAGATAACAAAGAACTTTATACAATCTAGACGACTCCCCTCTGGTAACTGCAGACATGTGCTGATTATTAGATTTCCTTACTTAATGTAGTGTAGAGTATTAAAGCTATAGTGTAAAAAGAAAATCTGGTAATTGCAGACATGTGCTTATTATTAGATTACCTTATTTAATATAGTGTGGAGTATTAAAGTTACAGTGTAAAAAAAAAAACTAACATAAGCTTTGAGGTAATAGGCCTAGGTCCATATTCAAGACCTGCCACTTTTTACCTTTGTGATTTTTAGATAAGTCATTTGCTGTGTCTTAGTCTATATATGTAAATAACTGAAATAATGGAGCCTACATTGGCTGAACATTTTGTCACTTGGAGCTGAAAGCATCCTAAATGGCATAAGTAACAGAGCAAAGAGAGAAAAGACTCTTTTCTCATGACAACCAATCCTGGTGGGGAAGACACATGATACATTGGCAAGGAAATAAATAAGAATTTTGGAGACTGTGAAGTAATGTGAACATCGAGCGGGGTCCTGAGACAAAGATTAACTTCAGATGGGAAGATAACACTGGACATGGTGGCCTAGGTAGGACTTCCCAAGGTTCAATTTGAGCTAAGAAAGGACTTGCCACATGAGCATCAAGGGTGAAGAGCATTCCCGGCAGAGGAAACAGCAGTGCCGAGGGCCTGAGGTCCAGATACTAAGGGTTCTGTGCCTGAGGTGAAGGAAGAGTGATGGCAGATGGACTTGGAGAAGTGGGCCATCTGATGTAGACACCCCATCAAGAGTCCAGGTGGCTTACACCTGGGTGTTATCAGTGGGGCAAAAGAGAAATGGGAAGGTTTAGAACTTAATTGCAGAAAGTTTGTGAGTATATCTGAGGTAAGGATGAGGCTGATGAAAAGAGTAGAGTCAAGGATGGATCCCTGGTTTTTGGGACAAGCAGCTGGGTGGATGGTGATCCCTTTTACTGAATCCTAGAAAAAAATGGATCAGCATCAATAAAGAAATGACTTAAAAGTTTCCAAGTCTGATTCATTAAATGCAGGATAGAAACAAATTTTTAAAGCCCACCCCTGTGCCCAGCTATAATAAAACTCATGAAAAAGAGTGGTATCTTCAAATAGTTAGGATAAAAAAAAAAAAAAACTTTCTTCAAAAAAATAGCTTTACGACTAATAACTGACTTATCAGCAGAAACAAGAAAGGGCAGACAACCATGGAAGAAAAATGAAAAAAATTTCCAACCTAGAATTCTATTCCCAGTGAAAATACCCTTCAAAAGCAAAGGCAAAATAAAGACATTTCCAATCAAATAAAAACTAAAAGAGTGCATTATTAGCACATGTTTCAAAAGGAAACACCAAAGGGAATTCTTCAGACAGAAGGAAAATGATCACAGAAACAGCAAAATGCGGGAGAGAATGAAGAGCAATCTAAAGTAAATATATCGGTGGGCCTCCCTGGTGGCGCAGCGGTTGAGCACTGGGTTGCAAAGCTGCCCTCGGCCTCTGCGGCGCAGGTTCGATCCCCAGCTGCTCCCCGGCCACCAGAGGAGGGTCCCACATGGCGCGCAGACCTCTCCTGCCGCCCGCTGCTCCCCTCAGCAGTGTACTTCGGTCCTTCTGCCTGCTCTGCTCCCCGCTCTGGCTCTGGTGAATTCTCTCACCCTCCCGCGCTTCTGACTGTACCCAGTGCTTGTATAAACAAAACAAACAAACAAATAAATAAATAAAACATGCCTCTATTAAAAAAAAAAAGTAAATACATCGGTAAACCTAATTGAACACTGACTTCAAACATTAACAATATCGTTATATGAAGTTATATAAGTGTCTGTGTATACACCACAAGAACCAAATGGTGGAAAGGGGGAAATGGAAAGTATTCTGGGTTCCTGAAAGTGTAAAAATTACTAATGTTTTGACTCTTATAAATTAAAAATGTTTGTTGAAACCACAAGGGTAATCACTAAAAGAATGAATTATAAGGGGGAGATGGAATTTTTAAAATGCTTGATTGATCTAAGAGAGAGGCAAGGAAGAGGAAAAATTACAAAAGAGGCTGCAACAAATAAAAAGAACCCAGTAAGTTCATAGACAAAACAAATATAGTAGTATAATATGGTCAATGTCAATAAACCAATCAATCACTCCAATTAAGCTTCCCCCTGATCATGTACAGATTAACTACCACATTTTACAGAAGAATTTTAGTTATAGAGAAATACACATCCAACGTTGTTCTGCTTGGAAGTCATGGGGCCAGAATTTGAACCTAGCAGCCCACCCCTGGGGCCTGAACAGTCACCACACCAGAGGCTTCCCTCTTCTCTGTCCACTGCCTTAGGTCTGCCCTTCCCCAGGTGGCACTCAGATTCCTGAACAAGCACCTAACCAGGCTTGCTGGGACCGTGTTGTTGCCATGGTGACCATGCTAATGCAAACTGGATCTCATCTCTCTCCTAAATTAAAATCTTCCCAATTCTCATTTACTTCAGAACAAATATAGTAGGTCATAAAAGGTGCTGCTAGATGGGGCCTCTACAAATCCTTCTGTCCTTCAGCCACTGCTCCCTGCTTTTGTGCCCTACATCCTAAAGTATGGGCAGGCTCCCAGTCTGGAATGGACATTATGCTCCCATGCCCTCTCCTCTTTAAAACCACCAAAGGGTGGCCTCTGATCCAGGACATCATGAGGGGTATCCCCTGCACCAGGCACTGTGCTGAATGCTTAGTTGTCTCAGTCCTGCTAACCCTCACAATGCTACAAGGCAGGTGCTGTTCTCCATCTTCTAGATGGCAAGACAGACTCAGAGGGTTTAGTGGATTACCAAAAAAATCCATGCATTCAGTCAACACCATGTGCCTGGCACTCTCCTAGGAGCTGGGAAAAGAGCAGTGAACAGAACGGCAGACATCTCTGCTCTCCTGAGAGCTCATACACAGACTGCGGTGGCTGGTGATAAGCGCTATGGAGGAAATAAGGAAGGAGAGAGGATGGGCAGTGAGCTGCGATGTCTGGAAGGGTGGTCAGGGAAGGTCTCCTGGAGACAGTGGCATGTGAGTGACAATGTATAGGAAATAAAGGGGTGAGTGGCAACAGGCAGCTAGGCGGAACACCAGGAAATTACAGAGGAAGTAGAGAAGTAATGTCTTGGGAGCATTAAGTTAATGGCATCGCAGTACTTGCTTATTTGTCAACCAGCTTGACACCAACCAGCTAGCAAGCTTGCTGAGGGTGTGGCCATGCCCCCAGCATCCAGGTCCACAGGAGATATTGCAAGGAGCTCAGACTTCGATTTTGAGTGGACTGTGTACAGGGGGATCTCCTCCATTGCCACCTCTCATGGACTTGGAACTCCAAGGCAGGCACCATCCTCCCACGCCCTGGCTTCCCTTCCTTCCTCTGAGGGAATAACGAATGTAACACCCTGGCCCTGAGTCTAGGGAACTGGCACTGTTCCTGTGGGCCTCTGTGATGCCCCCAAAGCCGAAGAAATGCACCAAATGCCACAGTGGCAGGAAAGGTGTGTAGGGCGACACTGATCATTCAACTACTTGAAAATAATCTTCCAAATTTTTAAGACAGACAAAATGATCCTCAAATATCTGCAGGGCAATTAAATCTACGTCTTCTGACACACACTTCCAGGCATAATGAAACCTCTTGACTAGTCAATGGACTACATGGTTAAACACTTTACAGAACCTAGAGCCAGACTTTACTATTTAAATTAAAAAGGTTTGTAACTGATGCAATGGGTCTCATGGCATGTGGGTCGTACTTGTCGGGAGTGGTCTTCCTGCTCCAAGCCCAAGCCATAATGCCATGCTTTCAGCAAATATCTGCTCTGTGATGAGTATTTAAGTTTCTATGGAGAATGATGGCTCCTCACTGAATGCTCTCAAATGGTATTGAATGAGCATTTCCACAGAGTAAGCATAAACCTCTGGACTTTGAGAATACATTTGACAGTGATCTTTAGTGCCCCCAAGTGACCACTAGTGGCATGACATCCTACATAGGCAGTCCTGTCCAGAGGGCTGTAAAGACCTCCAGAAAACCGTTCAGAGAACAGGATGCTTAACAGCAAAGCTCTCAGGGGCGAGAGTGTGGCTAGATGAGAATGGTCCTTCTGTACTGTTACTTCCTCCCATCATGAAGTTTGGCAGAAGGAAATATTAGGAAATATTGCTATCAAGTCAGAATGTGAATTCTTGTCCAGTTCCATGGTTTAGGACAAAATGCCTCTGGGAAAGGGGGAATAATCATCACTAGTTGTGAAAATTAAGCAAGCACAGTTACGTTTAAAATTTTATGGATGTATTATCTGTGTGTATCTTTTCTGTAATTTTTCACTTAACACCTTGATTTAAAGCATTTTGTGTAGATCAGAGAAAGACAAACACAATTTCTGCTTCATTTCCAAGGTTAGGCAACACCAGAAAGATTTAGGGTGGCAAGGGGAGAAAGAGGAATATGGCTTGGAGAGGGCATCATGTAATAAATTTATTATATTTTGTTACATTTTTCCACTTTTCTCTTAATTCCAACTGTACACTATATAATCAACTGCTGTTCCAGAAATAAAATGCTTTAAACATAAAAATAGAAATTCTGCTTCTTGAAAGTGCATACACCTTGAATAAAACATACAAATAAATAACAGACGTTAGTGGCACATCTCATGCACTTGATCTAAAATAATTTAAAATGTATGATACACTTTCTTTCCACCTCAAGGAGAGATATCCTGCACTCTGTGCAACTGCACAACTGAAGAGGAAAACGACACAGAACTCACTCTGAGTGGTGCATGAAAATATCAGAGCATTTTGTGTAGAGATAGGACATGCAGCTTTTAAGACAACTACAGAAATTCCAGTGTAAAAACTGAAGAGTTCAATCAAGAACCTACTTTTGTAATGAGGCCTGAATTCAATTTTAACCAGTGGTGAGAGGCACAGTTGGTGAGCAAACCTCCAGGGAAGAGAAATATCTGAGCCTCCGGAGAACGTCCACTTTGGAAACACCCCACTGCCTCCCCATTTGGTGTAAAGACACCAGCCCGTGTAGAATAGCACCTGGGAGATTTCATATTGCATTGTCATGACTACAACAGGGAACCCCACCCTGGCTGGGCTTTCCAGAGGACCCATTTCCAACTCAGATTTTTACTTCTTTATTCCTTGAAATGTTGAAAACACCAGGTAAGTTGTGTGTGTGTGTGGGTTTTTTTTTTTTTTTTTTGGTAGGCCATGTGATGCTGAACAGGATGAAACCACCCAAGCAGCACAGCAGACTATTCTAAAGATGTCATAGTGCATTCAGCTCACCACAGATTAAAACTATATTTCATTTGCCTCCATAGGTATCATAAGACTGCCAAATTTTTGGAAATTATCCGATATTTTTAATAACATGAAAAAATACTGAGGATTACCAAAAAAAAAAAAATACTCCAAATAAAATGCTTCACATTCACTTTAAACTAAAAACCATTCTGTGTGAAGAACGAGCTAAAAAGGAAATTCAGCAGCAACCTGGGGTTTGCTATTATACAAAGGACAACTAGTCTATCAGAATCAGGGACAGCTTTTCCAAGGTCCTTGAAGGCATTTTCTAACTCGGGGTGACTTCCTGCTCTCCTTTGGGTCAAGACACACCACGCATCCAGGGGAAGGACACAACCCCCAGGGCCACCCCGCCTGCTCCAGCCAACTACAGACCACTGATTCCCATCACACAGCCAAGGGCTGGGCTGCCCACAAAATGCCCCACCTCCCCAATCAGGGCTCAAACCAGAAAGGGCCCTTCATTTGAAACCCTCTCCATCAAAATAGAGCACACGGAGGACTCGGGACTCAGGACTCTTCCTGAGGACTTGGTATCGCGGCAATTCTCACCACGACACAGCAGGGGAGGGCGCGTCACAGTGGCTCTCAATGCCAGCTGCATCAGGACCACGGAGGAACTCTGAAGTACAGGTTGCTTCTGGGGCTCCGCACCCTGCATGAATTAGATCAAAAGCTTGGGAGTGGGCCCCAGGTGTTTTTAAAAGTTCCTGGATGATTCTAGTGAATCAGAATCTCAAACAAGCCATTCAGAAGAGGCTGAGAGTCTTGGGGTGCAAGGGTGTGTGAGATCTGAAAAAGCCTCCCAAGTCTGCAATAGGTCTCCCTTCTGCACAAAGGCAAGAAACACCATTTTAAATGAACGTGGGTTAGATCTGGAACCTAATCTACACAAGGCTACCACATATTCCACAAGTTTGGCCTTATTGTGACCACAGATGGGACGGTCCAAGCTTTCAAAACAGCTCTAAGTCTCTACAAAAGCGTTTTAAAATTGTTAGCACTATTAGAAGCCACATTCTTTCCTGTGACGATAGGACCCTAGAAGATATAAAAAATTAAAATCTATAGAAAATGGCAGGTTTTTTTCTTTTAGAACAAAATACTTTAGGAAAGTCTTCAGGCTAAATATAGTATATAAATCGGTGTGTTCAACGTATCCAATTCCACCCCCGCTTGCAAAATCTTATTTTACACACAATCTTGCCAACAATGAAAGAAAAAAATCAGCAGAGAAACATGTGCAAAGCAAAATAATCCATACTCATGCTCTTCTATATTGACGATTAAGCCACATTTAAAAAATTACAAATTCAAAAATAGAGCTCCACAATTTAAGAGTTGCCTCTTTTTAAAAAACTTACATTTAGTCGTCTCTAATTTGTATGTTAGCTGCTTGCATAGGTAGTAAGAGCATGCTTTCTGGGTTAGTTGGAGCCATGCAACATCCTTTTCATAACTTGTGGTTAAAAAAGAATTGGTCATGCTTAAAATGCAGCTGCAAAAACAAGTATTTTGGAAGCTGACCCAAAGGCATCCATTTAAATAAAAGTATAGGATTTCCTCTCAAAATATGTAGTCAGCTTGAGCAATAATGTACCCTCTGTGAAATTAAAGACAGCCTGCAGAATAACAGCCACTTTGTGTTTATGTTTATGATTCAGGCACTGGTTTGTCAGCAAGTTTTGCTCTTCTCCATTACAAGTGATACAAAGTTCAACGCGCCTCATGGATTATATTTTATTGGAAGTGTGCTTTTGATTTGCAGACTATCTCAAAATCTGACCCAGTAACCCTGATTACTTTTGAATCCAGTAAGCACGATCACTATGTAAGAAATGATAACCTCGGCTCTTCAACGTCAAGATGCAAAGTGATATGTCGATCTCCTTTAAAAAATGTTTATCTGAAATAAAAGAGCTTTGTTCGCAACTACTTTCTTCTCATTGTTCCTAAAAGTTGACACTACTGTTTCTTTTATGTACCGTTCCTATTTTTCTTCATGGTACTTATTTTAGGATAACCTAAGAAATATCCCTGGTCCATCTCTTACGAACACAGATGACCAAATTCTGATGAAGTGACTTTGCAACAGACTTTTGACCCCTAAGGAACACAGAGAGCTCAGTCTGAAAAGTGGATGGCAGAGTAGAATGATTCCAAAGATGAAGAGCACTGTTGGTTTCCAAAACACGACAGATTTGCATTAGAGGCTCCTGGGCCTTGGCCAATTCACCGAGAATCCTTCCCTTCTTTCTGTTCCAGAGGCCTGTAGCTCCGAGGACATGATCGGCATTCCCAGGTCATGGGCTGTGCCCCCCGGGCTGCTCAGCCACAGCAACTCCTGAAGCTTCCAGCTTGCCTCTACAAGCAAAGCTGGCCCTCAACAAATGCTTGCAGAATGAATGAATGAATGAATGATGAAAGAATGATTACAAAGAGCCAGGACAGCCTCCCAGCTAAGTGCAGTGTTACAGCATACGGCAAACACTTCCACGTCTGTCTCCGTTAGCCCAGCGTAGGAGACTTATTTCTGGTAGGCTGCTTTCAGGATTAGAAAATACAAAAGGGGAGAAGGTCTTGAGATGGCATAAGCTTAACAGTTTCTTTACGCTTCTACATTAGAGAAGGGTTTAACAGAGGCCAGGCTTGCACAGGGCTTTCTTAAGGAACGGTAAGAGTCTCAGTGCATTGGATGTGTACAGGAAAAGACGAGAAGAATAAAAAGTTTCCTTAAAGCAAACAAACTTTACAGACGCAACACTACTGCTGATTATTTTATGTGTACCAGAAAATGAGTGTTCTGATCGGGCCTACCGTCCTTTGCAAATGACTTTTAACCCAAACACACACATGCTCATCGTGCAGTAAGTAAACAAAACACACCCCAAGTTCCTAACACTATTAACAAATGAACTGAAGAAGTACAGTAAGGTATTTCTCAGGTCAAAGGGCACCTCTAAACTTTGGGGCAAAATATCCTTTCTTGACTTAAAGCTGCACCTAGTAGTTAAGGATGTTTAACAAGAAATTTCATGGTTTACCAAGCACAGAAATATCACAGCTTCAAGATGCCTAGATAATGCCATTAATGCTTCCTGAATTTTTTCCCATTTATATCTGAAACAAGGACTAAACTCCACAGACATACAGTTTATAGACACTGAAATTTTATTTCTGGATCCCACCGAAAATTTAAAGTAGTCTATAGTTTTTGCTTTTTTTTTTTCAAAGACACAAAACATAATGGAAAATCCATTCCTGAAGGACTCAAGTATAAAAACATTTACCACTGTGAAAATTAAACCACTTTCTATTAATGCTTAACTGATTAAAACCCCCACCCCTCCATATGCCTATTAAAACCCATTGTATAGTCAAACTATAATTCTAAGACTGCTTCAGAGAGGAGATTTCAAATGAGATTTCAAATTTCTTTCTTAAAGAAAGAGGAAGAGTTCAAATTAAACAATTCCTGGTATCAATGACCCTCTATTTGGTGCATCTTTCCAGGAAATAAAAGCAATACAGTAAAGCTAGCAGTGGCCAACACTGATGGGGCTGTTCACATGCTTTTAGAAGCAGGAATTAACAGCCGCTGGCAGCCAGGCTCGGACAGGGGACAGAGATGCTGCTCTGGGAAACCAGAGGCTTCACAGCGAGCCCGAGACACCAGAGCAGGACCCAGCAAGCGCAGGACCCAGAGCCATGGCCCACAGGCTCATGTGGCATGAATTTCATGGTGCCTACGGTAACTTTCACGAGGCTGAGTATGTAAGTCTTAAATATTCCCAGGGTCTAAAATTCCAGCTACCCACTATATAAATGGCCTCCAGACTCCAAGTGGCCTGCTAGAGCTAAAAACAGCAGCAAAATAAAATTAAGTGACCTACTGGAAACAGTTCCCAAGAGGTAATCATGGATTAAAAAAAGAAGAAAGGGGAAAAAAAAAAGGCAGTGCAGAATTCGTGGCTTTGCACACGTGTTGTTCTGGTCACTTCATATCCAGCAATACTGAGAAGGGAGATCACAGTGGATCTGCGCACCAAGAGCACAAACCCAATGCGTCTACAACTTAAAAATTAAGTCAATATTTAAAAGCATATGAACTCCGTGTGCTATGTATTTCATGGCAAAATGACAAATGCAATTCAGGGACAGTCAGGAACATGACTCTTTTGACCTTTAAACAAAATACTGAAAGGAGGGGAGCCTAGAAATGGTCAGCATACCTCCAAAAAGTTTGCAAAACTATCAAGCTTATTTGTGAGGCTTTTTGGAGATTCCCTTTTTCCTAAACAAGCAAGGCGATTTGCATTGACGATGCCAGGCGGGGCGTGCTCCAATCCTGCTTGTGAGATCTGGGCAAGAGAGCAAATCTTAAGCACAAAAAGAAACAAAGGAGTTAGTGAAAAGCAGTTGTAAGTCAGACTGACAGGCAGGATCAGACGCGTGCATACTGCTGCTCTGAGAGGGCTGCAACCCCCGCTGAAGACTCTTGGGCCTGGGCAACCTCTTTCCTCTCCAGGCCACAGGGAGTAGAAACACCAATGCTGCCAAGCCACGGCATGCACAGCGGGCAGCACGGAGAGCTCGACTTGTAACACACACTTGTAACACACAAAGGACACCAGAGGAGGAGGACAGTAGAGATTCACGCATCCAGCTTAGGATCCATTTTTTTCCCCCAGGAATCTCTCAAAAGTGTTAACCATTCTACTACCTTTCAAAACTCCCATGGCCTTAGCCAGCAAGCCTGGAAGGAAAAAAATAAGTTAACTACTAGTGACTGGCCTTCTGGCTATCCCTTTGCCGCCTCTTACATACATCCCCAGGGTCAAGACCGCTTATGGTACAGGCACCTTTGCAGACATGCAGGTCACGGGAGACTTCGAGCACTCAAGACTTCCACCTGCGGCAGTAGGAGAATCACAGCCACCACAGGCCACCTTCCTCTTTGACCCTTGCACTGATAACGCATCCATGCTAGTCTAGCTGAGTATATACCTGAGAAACATCAGTGATAAATATTGCCCTTTACAAAGACTGGTAGATGGGGCCAAAGTGCAGAAAGCAACAGTTTTCCCTCAGTTTTTCACGGTTAGTGTCAGTTTTTAGAGCTCCTGGTGCCACATGACAATCTGCAGTGAGGATAAATCCTGCTCAGATGAAACCCAAGTCAAATAGTTCATCCTCCCACAGAGCACATGGATGACAGCTTAACTGGTTCACAGGTTTCAAAACCCTAGTGTCCAACCAAAGTCAGAGTTCTCTAGAAAGAAATATATACAATTGCTAGGGGAGTGTCCAGGGTATTGTCTACAATAATTCCAGTTAGCTTGGTATCAATGCTTTGCCTATGGCTGTTATTTGGTTCAATGGCAGAATAAGGCGACGCTTTTAACAATTTGCAATTGAACTCTCTCACACACACTCATGTGAGCGCTCACATACATACATTCATTCATTCATGCATGCATGCGTGCGTGCACACACACACGCACGCACGCACGCGCACACACACACACACCAGGCACATGACCCAAAAAATACAAACAAAAGCATAGAGGGCTTTGGTGGGGGAGGCCCTAAATAAATAAACAATAAACATCTTTACAGATAAAACACTGGGATTACAGGAATATCACTGAGGTTTCTGAGAAGGCCGTGCAGAGGTTTGCATGCTGGAAGGTAACTTTTTTGAGGATTTCTCAGTAGACTGCCTGCCCCCAGGCGATGAGGGTCCTCCAGAATCTAGCTGGGAAGACTTGGATTTGCGAGCAGACAGCAGGGAATGTTTAGCAGTAGAGTCTTTGGAGACAACCAGCTCTTTTCCCACTGCATTTGCGTGTGGCTGCTGGGTAGCTGGAGGCGGGTGGCCTTTCTCAGCCTTGTCGTCCATGGCATTCTTACAGACCGACTTGAGGGAGCCCCCGCCCGCCTTCTTGGAGAGCAAGGCTGTCTTGCCAAGGTCTGTCGACCGCCGCGTCTCCTTCTGTCTCAAGGCCGATTTGAAGAAGGACAGCCCCTTGTCCTCCGACTTGCTGTCCCGCTTCAGCCCAGCCCTGGCACCGGTGCTGGGCGAGCGCAGGCTGGCCATGGAGGAACTCCTAACCTGCTTCCCGCCCCCGCGGCCCTCCCCAGCCCTGGCCTGGCCCACCCGCGGGGAGCTGGGCTTGGAGCTGGAGGAGAGGCTGGCTCTGTCGGAAGTCAGGCTTTGTCTGGAACCCTCTCTGCTCAGGCTCCTGTCTGAAGTCCTGCTCTTCCCAGGAGGGAACTGGCCCCGCGTGGTGGGGCCCGAGGCTTTCTTGGCAGATGTGGAGCAGGCAGCGTGAGTGAGTGCAGCGGCTGACTTCTGCTTCTGGGGGGAAGGAGACGACACGGAGTCCTGGGACTTGGGGGAGGATGCCTTTTTGGGTGGGGCAGGGGCAGGGGAAGAGTGCCGTCCACTGGCCCTGGAAGAAGATTCTGCCTTGTTTCGGGAGCGGGAAGGCTTTAGAGAAACTTTTACAGGAACAGGAGAGGAAGGTGATGTACTTGAAAGAGATGATTCCTGGCTTGCCAAGACCGGTCTCCCCTTCCGCAAGCTTCTGTCCGGCTCGGTGGGGCCTTTGGAACCTGGGGACCTCTTAGTTGTGCTCTCCGGTTTCTTGGTGACAGACCCTGCTTGGCTCAGGGGTTTCACCTCTTTGACAGGAGAGCTGTCTACAGAATCGCTCTGATCCACATATGCAATCTGATTATTGTTATCAAACGGATCAGAGACGGGGGGCAAGCAATCCCCTTGTGCCGAGTTTTTTCTCTGTGTATCTACAACACTGGAATTCACTTTGCGGGTGTCGGATTCATCTCTGAACACTCCTTCCATGACAGCCAGAGGGGCCCGACCCACAGTCTTGTGCTCCCGTCGACCATGACTATCACTGGGCTCCTGGTAATTGCTAGAAAGGTTCCTCAAGCTCCCAAAGCATGAGATGGAGACCTTGTCGTCCACCGCCTCCCCGATCTTCTCCAAGGTGGAGGCGGAGGTGTGAATTGGAGAGTCCCCTGAGAAGCGGGATGGAGAATTAGAGCGCATCTGCAGCTTAGCGGACAGGGACCAAGACGGTCTGATGCAATTGTCATTGACGGCCAAGGGGCTGGTGACAGATGATCTGGCCGACAGGCTCTGACGCTGAACACTTCTCACAAATGGTCGAGTTGAGAAGCCCCCTGGATCACAGCAAAGAGAATTTTGTTAAATGAAACCAACAGAATGTTCTAGCAACATCTTAAGATACTGAAGATGAAAGGAAGGAAAGTCTCATGGAAAGACAGGCGCGTGGCCCTCTGAGCCAGCATGTGTCAGGTTAAGGAAAGCCATGTGACTTTGACATGTCTGAACCCAGGGTGTTCATTCTATAAAAGAGAGGGCATTCTAACTCAGGGATCTGTAATTTCTCTGTACCTTCTTGCTCTGCATCAGAATAAGGCAGACTTTTCCTGTAAAAGCCCAGAGTAAATATTTGGGGCTTCACAGGTGAGATACTCAAACCGCCACTGCAGCACAAAGGCAGCCACAGCTGACACGCAACCAAATATGGCTGAGTGGCAATAAAACACTATATACAATAAAGACAGGATCTGCATTTGGTCTGTGGCCTGTAGTTTGCCCATCACTCTTCTACTCTGAGAATTAAGTAAAATCTTCAAAGTCCTGTGCCCAGCAAGACACCTGGCACTCCGCAGCTGCTCACTAATTGTGACCCAGCTTCTTCATCTTACTAAGGGCCTCCAGGGTTCACAGAAGTGAAGTCCTAGCCTAAAATTTCACAAATAATGAGAGGTACAGCTAGCAGCACCACCCACAACCCCCTGTCCCTCACTCAAGGCCACACGTGGGCATGTAATTATTGACTATAGAAGAGGAACAGTGCAAAGAACTAAACAGACAACACACTTAAAATGCCAAATCCTGAGTGACTTAAAAACGCCAAAGAAAATATTCTAATTTAAATTCTGTGCACAATGAATGAGCGGCTGTGGTATTTATGAGTCACCAGGTGAGACCCTCAGAGAGAGGCTCTGTGCCATGGGCAGCTCCCGGCATCCCTGTGTGACGACAGCGATGCTTCAGAGGTCAATGATTTCACCAGCCAGCTGTTTAAAAATAGACTGGGGACAAACCATATCTAGGCTTATTGTTGAAAAGACAGTGACCCCAGGTTTAAAGACTGTGTTGAAAATAGCCTGTACCTAAACAAGCGAAAATTAATGGTCAGTTTCTCCTAAAATGTCAGGACTAGAAAGGAGCTCAGCAATCCTGTTCTAATGCAAATAAAGCAACAAGCCAGAGCAGTGGCTGGGCCCGCAGAGCCAATCTCCCCTGCTGGCACTTGCCTCCCAGTCCCCTGCTTGCTCCTCCATTTTATGTGCTCACAATCAGCCATCACCACTAGAAGCAGATTACAGCGATCGAAATGCTGGCGAAGAATGAGACTCGTTGGCAGATGAGTCACCGTGCTCATTACAGAAGCTGAGCTCACCCTCCTCTCCTTCCAGCTCTCGAGAGCTCTGGCTGCCTGGTCCTTCCCACACCACCTGGGGTCCTCGACAGAGCTAGGGGCTGCACTGCCATTACTCAAGGGGAAGAGGAAGGTAAAAACACAGCTCAATTTTATCAGGTTTTCAAAGCTTTTATAAGGCAACCTTCTTCAGAATTCCTAAAAACTACCTTTAAAGCAGAGACAACAGCTTTTGTTCTAGATGCTTCTGTACTTAAAAAAACACAACACAGATCCTCTGAGGAAGCAATGTGGTGGAAAGGTGAAAAGCTGAGAGTCAGGAAGCTTCCATGCCAGGCATGGAGACACCACTGGTGGCCCAAGGCCAATCATGACTTCACTGAGTTCCCTTACAGTTATTTTGAGGATTTTAACAAGCACTTTGGAAAAAAGTGCACAATATTATACAGAGTTAAAGTTCCAGCCTGCACACTTGCCACATTAAAGGTGGAAAAACAATGAAGTGGAAAGGGGAAGTCCCAGGTCACAGAAAAAAGCCAATGAACACCCCATTTATATAAAATATTACTTATTATGATCATCATCCACAGCTCTGCAGCCCCACTGTCTGTGACCCCTGTTACATTCACCCACAATCTTTGTGGGACTTAGTTCCTAAACATGAGGGGCTCTGTGTTATGGCCAGGAGTTACCATTTTGGAAATCCGTCACAAAATGCAAACCCACCGTCATCTTCGCTTCTCTCCCCCGTCATCTCCACGGACTCAGAGAGCGAGGCCAAGGAGGTGCGTCTCGAGGAAGCTGCAGAGGTCACGCTGGCTTGCTTGCTCCCCGGGAGCCGGCTCACCCAGTGTTCACACAAGGACGAGCTTGTCGAGCCTTCAAAAAAGAAAGCAGGCACCGAGGTCAGGCCGGAATGCTGGGCACCCTTCATGGAGAAACTGCTGCCCGAGTAGGGGCTGGTAATCACCCAGGGGCCATCATCGATTCCTAGACCCCACATCACACCTGCTCAAATATCTACCCTGTTAAGATGAAGGAAGGAGGGCCAACTCCCACACACATTTGCAGCAATGGAATGCAAGGACAGGGAAGATTACTTCAAATGCAAAGTCCAAGTCCTAAGTGCTGGCACTCGAACAGAATATAGACATCTGCTCATAGATCTTCATTCTATAAATATTTATTAAGTGCCTCCATGCCAGGCACTGTTTTAAGAACCTGCAATAACATTCCTGACACAAAGAGAAAAGAGCAGCTCGCCTGCCTGCTGTGACTGCGCAGGTGCCTCTCTCTCTCATTCTCCTTTTCCTAATAAACTCGTCTTTTAAATGTAAAAAAGAAAGAGTGAGGAGCACAGGTATTTCCCTGGCCTCGCTGTTTTGTGCATTTGTAATCATTCTCATGGTATTAAAACACACACATACAGCCACAGGCCTTAAATTGTCAAGAGGAAGTGGCGCGGTTGTCTCAAGTTAACCTCAAGAGGGTCTAATTTCTGAGCGAACCTCAGACTCTGGAGAGCAGGAGGGAAGGCAGTAGAGTCCTGGAGGTTGCTGCTTCCTGTTAACCAAGTGGCTGGACAGATGGGTGTACCGGGCAGAGATTGATTCTCAGCAGGGGATCCTCCTTTTAGCTTCCTCAAACTTCCTTACCCCTGACAACCTCTGAGACAAGCAGGGCCCAAATGTGGTCATATATTAGCTCATTCGCGTCTGCTGCAACATTCTCTTAAACTCTGCGAAGAAGTGTGTGCCCCTTGCTGGGACTATGCTGGCTGCATCACATCACATTTGGGTGCTGGGGCCTGTGCTGTTTACACACAACGGGCCAGATCCCATCCAGCTAACTCCAGGCATCTAATGTCACTACAGCCTTCAGATGCTATAATATATTCATTCCTCTCATACGCTCGTGCTTTCTCTCTCTCTCTCTCTCTCTCTCTCTCTCTCTCTCTCTCTCTCACGCGCGCGCCCTCTGCCTCTTCCAGGTGGATTTTAATGGGAAAAAGAACTAATTCTAACGCACTTGACCCTTTACAAATGGCTTTAGAGTAGACTTACTGAACCTGAAGCACGAGACAACCCAGGAGGCAGGCGTTATTATTATACTGACATCACGGAGGTAAGTATGTAGCTCGGTGGGACGGGCTCCAAGATAACCCAACCAAACTGGACAAGCCAGATCTACTCTATTTCCAAGCCCCTCACTCTCTCCATTCTCAAATGCAGCAAGCTGTGTAGCTTTCCAGCTCACCTGTCAGCTCATGCCCAGCACTGTAAGCACCGCGCTGACGGTGCCAGGCGCCTCCCCTCCATGGACTCTGTCCTGGCTCACAGCTGCTGGCAGCCTACCCACATTTCCTTGATTACAATCATTCTAGTTTCCAGATACAATGCACAAAAGTGAGAATCTGATCAAACTAAGAGTCATGAGATCTCCTGGAGGAGTTCTCTGGGTCACTAAGTACAATCATCTGCTCCTGAAAAAAACTGCCCAAGCATTGCATCAGCCTTACCTGCCACTGAGCTGTTGGCTGACCACGAGGGTATCGCCGTCCGCCTCTGGTAGAAAAGGATGTAGGCTGTCTGCGTGCAGACGTCCTCCTCTGACAGCTGCTGCACGTCGCTGTCATCGAAGCAGTACCAGAGGCCGTCCACGGAATTCTTACAGAACGCTGCCAAGAAGAGCCACCATCAGTACCAGGGCCGGCGGGGCTGGCTCCCCCCACAGACATCATTCCTTGGCTCATGTAAATAATTCAAGAACATCTGAACGCTCATGTAGTAACACAGAAAGAGGGAAAAAAAATCCAAATTCCATGACACAGGCAAAATGTTCAAAGAAATTCCAAATGATGAAATTCTATTTCATCTTAGAACACACAATATATTTATTCTTTTAAACCAGTGGGTCTCAAACAGGGATCATTTGGCCCTCACCCTTAGCCCTCCTCCAAGGGACATCTGACAATGCACAGGGACTTTTTTGAGCAAGGACGCTGCTAAACATCCTATAATGTACAGGACAGCCCCCACAACAAAGAATTATTTAGCCCAAATGTTAACAGTTGAGGTTTAGAAACCCTAATTTAAGCAGGTCAAAACATTTCAGTGTTTATTAGAGGGAAAAATAATGGAAAAATAGTGGTATTTATAATTGCAGCAGCTCCTAGCTGTTTAACACTTATGTGCCCAGCATCTCACTTAATCCTTTGAGATTTGTTCTGTTATTACTCCCATTTTACAGAAGTTTAAAAAGGAGAAACAGTGTGCTTAAGGTAGCACAGGGCAGGGTCCAGCTCATTTCAGGTTCCAGCTCATTTCAGGTTCACCAAGTCCCCAACTTGCACCAGCACCTCTACCCCACCCTGCTTCCCTCAAGGGTGGCACAAACAGTGCTCCAGGAAGTTCCTGGCATAGCAAGAACATTGAGCACATGGATGCAAGTGGCCTTCTCTCCTGTTCAAATTCTCAGCCTGAGAGAGAGAGAGACAGAGAGCATTTAAGTGCCAGCAGAAAAATAGAAGAACTCAGTGATCATGAAGCCACATCACCCTGCAAGGATAAATTCAAGGGGTGTGATAAGCTTGATCCAGAAAGGCACATTCTTATGACACTTTCTAAAAATACCCATTGATTAGGGTGAGAATAAATGAGTGCCAGAATATTTAGCTGAACACTGGAACAGATGCAGAAAGGCCTCAGGGGTAGGGCACGTAAGGTCCAGGAGTAACTCCCTCCACATTTCTAAGTATGGAACCCAAAGGACAGAGAGAAACTGGGTGAAGAAGAGCTACACCAGACAGGTCCGGAGAAGGAAGAGCAGAGTAAGCATGTATAGCCTGCAGCTGTGAACTCACTAGAACCAAAGGAAGAGAAATGAGACAAAAACAGCAAATGGAGCAGGTAAAACCACCATCTGGTCGATGGTGTTGGGGCAGGCTGATGGATCAACCAGCCCACTGCAGAGGGCGCTGCTATTCTGGAGCAGGAGTGGGAGCAGAAGGGTCAGTGGGGCACACACACAAGAGAAGTGACAGGCCAACCTGGCACCGATTTCAGTCTGCTTCTCTTCAGGATGAGCTGTCCTCAGTCAGAGAGAAGAAGCTAAGGCCACAGAGCAGCTTGTTGATGTGTTAATGTTGGATTTACAAAATAGTTTCATTTCCTTTTCTTTCTACTACCATTTTCTGAAGTGTTTTCTAGGCCAGTAGTTCTTAAACTGGCTCACAGACCAGTGTCAGTCTACAAAGCGCCAACACTGAGATGAGCATTTAAAAACGTACACAGGGCCTCCCCTGGTGGTGCAGCGGTTGAGCGCTGGGCTGCGAAGCTGCCTGCAGCCTCTGCAGCGCCGGTTCAATCCCCAGCAGCCGGCAAGGGTCCCACATGGGGCGCAGACCTCTCCTGCCACACCGGCTGCTTCCCCTCAGCAGTGTATTTCGTCGGTCTGCCTGTTCTGTTCCCTGCTCTGGCTCTGGTGAATTCTCTCACCCTCCTGCACTTCTGACTGTATCCAGTGCTTGTATGTATGTATGTATGTATGTATGTATGTATGTATGTATGTATAAATAAATAAATAAATCTTTAAAAAAAATAAAATAAAATAAAAACATACACAGCATGCCTCTGAAAGCACATATGATGTTTAAGCCAATGTTACCTCAATTAAAAATAAAAATTGCAAAATATAAAGAAAAAACTTTTCATAGCAATGTGCTATTGCTATGAAATTTTTATTGTATTTTTACCAAAATTTTGGTTCATGGAAGACTGGAGATTTTAAAAAATAAAGATTCTTTATCAGATAGTTTGAGAACCCCTGTTGTAGAATCCTTACCCAAGTTAGTGACACAAGCATCGTGTGATTATAGCCAGAACTGATGCAACTAGTTATCATGAACTCAAAATGTTCTCTAAACTAAGACTCTGAACATTTTTATACGCTGGAAGCACAGCAGCAAGGCCTAAGCATGGGGTGGGGTGGAAGGAGATTATGGTTACAAATGCAGAGTTATCTCCAAGCTACAACTAAGGAACAGGTTCTGTGAGGCAAGCATGGCCCCCTTTGGCTACTAATGGGGTCACCAACTCCAGGTGAAGTTACTTGTCTAAAGATCAGAGACAGGAAGATGTGTCCAATATCTAACCCAAATGCCTTTCACTAAAATGAACTGCCTACAAGATAGCATTTTTCAAAGCCTATTCTATATAAAGAGCAACAATGATAGGCTAAAATCTGGCACCATTCTAGTCTTCTCAACAAATTCTTGCTAGAAACTGTGTAATGCGCCAGTCCATATTTTCCTGAGAAACTCTTATAAACGGAAGAGGCATTCTTTACCACAGCTGCAGCTGGAGGAACACCAACTGGGGGGTGCTGGCAAAGGCATTACTACTCCAGGCAACTACTGAAATTAAATGACTGCTACGGTCCTTTGAATTCTAAGAGGTCATGAATAAATAGGCCCATGACTCAGTATCAAAGAAAGATGTTCAGTGATACCCCAAAAGCAAAAATCCAACTAGACACATACCGTGTATTATACAGCGGCTTCCACAAAATACACACTATGCAAGACACAAAACATGGTACAATCAGAACCACAGTAGAAGGTAAAATATATGGAAAAATCTAATTAATATTAACTTCGAATGAACCTGGAGGATTTCTAAATTTTCTATCTCCTTTTTCTCTTTAAAAGTGCTTCCAAGGGCAAGTGGAGGCGATGCGAACTGCTCCATGGCAAGACACTCAGCACTGGGACCACGCCTCGCCCATGCACCTGCCATCTGCCAACATCTAAATATTGAAAGAACTTGAACTAAAAAGGTTTCAAGAATAAAAGACTGTTGTATCCAGCCATGGCCCCCATCCCTACCGGCAAGAGGGAAGAGCAGGTTGAGAGTAAGTGCGCCAAGCCAAGGAGATGGGAGGGGGACAGGCTTCTTCACCCTATCATTGGGGGTTCCAGAGCTAACTGCTTGGGAGGAGTCTCAGGACTTCTGAACCCCTTCTCCATCTTCCTCCACCTTTATGGATCACTGGCACCCTGGGTCTTGTTGCAGAAACTACCAAACAGACGAAGAAAGTCCCTCAGAAGTATACACATCAAACCTGATGAGTGTGAAGGATGCAAGAATGCAAGTCCTGGCTACCCGGACAGAACCAAATCAACACCCTCACATCCACCCCCACACAGATGCCCAAGCAAGAAACCACAAAATCCACCCTCCTGCCTCTTCACACATGCTCTCAACTCAGTAATTCTACTTCTGAGACTCAAGCTCAAAAAAATATACAAAAGGCAAATGTGCACAAAGATGTTCATCAGTACTAAGTTCAAAGTTAAAAATCAGAGACAATATGTGTGTTCAAAAACAGGGGGCGATTATATGAAACTATAGGATTCTACTAAAAGAATATTCTGAGATCATTAAAAATCATATTAGTAAAAACTGAGCATCTGCATCAAGATACTCATGAAGTGTGAGGATGAGGGCAGAAAGGCGCGCACACACCCTGCCCGCCGCACACCATGACTCTGGTCCTGATGCTTTCACCCGCCTGGCTCCCCCCTCAGCCCGCAGGCCCGGAGGTGCGGTCGGCAGGTTACTAGCCCCCGTGGCTTCTGCCCCTGCAGCACGCCCTGACCACTCTCTCCTCCGGCCCCGCCCACCTCACACCTCTACCACAGAAGGTCTTGGGGCTGCTCTTTCGATTTCATTTGCATCTACACCCCTCCCACCCTTTCCCACACATACACACGATCGCACCCTTGAAGACTGAGGGTGGGCCCTACCCATTCCGACGCACCTCTCCTGTGATACAGCCCAGTGCAGCCTGGACAGAAGGTGCCCTGTGACTGCCCATCCATGAACAGGACATACCAGTACAGTCCCCTCCACAGACTGAAGCGATGATCAAGACTTACAGAAAGACACTGGAAGGAAAATGTTACCTACAGACAATGGGACATTCTTCAGTCTTAGAAAGGAAAGAGAGTCTGACACATGATACAACACGGGTGACTCTTAAAGACATGGTGCTAAGCGACATGAGCCAGTCACAAAAGGCCAAACAGCATGTGATCCCACTTATACAAGGTACCTAGAGTCGTCAAACTCACAGAGAAAGACCTCGGCTGTCAGGGGTAGGTATTTAATGGCTGGGAACATGAGGAATGGTGGATGGCGGTGACCTGCACACGACCAAGTGAGTGCGCTCAATGCTGCTGAACCCGACACTTCAAAATGATGAATTCTGTTTCGTGTGTTTTACCACATTCTTTTTAAGTGTTACCAGCAGTCACTTTTGAATGAGAGAGCCACCTTGAGTGATAAAGCCCCCAAATTTCATATGATGAGCATAGTTGCTTTTACAAATGAAAAAAGTAAACTTAACCTTAAAAAGAAAATTCTTCCAAGTCGCTGTAATGACACTGTGAAAGTGGCTCAATGTCACTCCATCCAAGGGCAAAGCTAGACCCTGAAAGGGGCAGGGGTGATGGCACATGGTGAGGTCGGACGACCCCACTGCACACACCATGCCCACGGGGCAGACCGCCACACGATGACCTGGCTCAGGAAAAGGAGGAAGCACTTCGTTTATCTGCTCTTGGACACAGACCCAGAGGATGGAAACTGCGCCCACAGTTGGCACGCCGCCTACTGGAAGAGAAAGTGAGGCCCTAAAGGACAAATCCCTGACACAAACAAAGCCCATCTGAGGGAACTGTCAGCACAGACACCCGGCCTCTCGCACTGCAGACCTGTGTAGTGCCCCCCTTGCATGGTGCCATGGTGATTGCACACAGCATACAGGTCATAGACGTAGTCCTCAGGGTCCCTCCCGAGTCCATAGGGCCGTCTCCACGGAGACCAATGGGATGGCAAGCTCCAGCTGCTCTGGCTTCTCTTAACCACATGAGGGGTCATGTCCAGGCCAGTCAAGGGAAACTTGACCATGTTCTGAAGTTTCATGCGCCTGTCTCCTTCCTGTGCAAGAAGAAAAACAAGTGCTGATGATATTTTCACGCAAGCAGATGGCAGATCAGTTTAACGCGGAATGTGCACCTTATCAGCCGAAGCAGTCTGGTCTGGCCTAGCTGATGCTTCCAAGATACACACAGGATAGCTGTAACTATCTGGAGGAACAGGTTTTAATGTTACTAAAAATGGAACCAGTGGTAATCTCGTAGAAGGGGTAGGTAAGTAATAAAGCCTCTCCAAGTCTTCATTTCCTTATCTGACAAAGAAACAGTCTTGAAAAAAATGACAATTTGGGGTGGTTCGGCCTGATTCTGTGCAGAGGCATGGAAAGGCAGGGAGCGCACAGGGCGGCACCCACAATGCCCTTCCTCCCCAGCTCCTCCAGCACATGCATCAAACGTGAATATTGACTTAGCTCAATATATGCATTTCATTGACAATGTCCAGTAATCTACAGTGTCCAAGTTAAGTCCATAGGACAATCCTCTGAAATCCAACCACCAGCTCAACAGATATTTACCATTTCCTGTGTCTATAGGAGCTTTAAAAACTAATTGCATTTGAGTAACAGCTATCTTTATGGCTCTATTAAAGGAAGAAAAACTTTCCTAAGAGGAAGACAGAACAGGTCCTGGATGGTCAGGAGGTGAGGCTCGAGAACCTGGACCTTGTTCGGCAGTTGGGATGGTGGGTGGGTGGGGGATGCACCTCAGGCAGGAGGCGATGAGTTGTAAAGTGCATAAAGACACAGGAAGCACAGCACAGGCTACGAAATCGATTAGGAGACACTGCAACTGCAAAGAGCTGGAAAACGACAGCATCTGAAGAGGCAGGTGACAGCAAGAATGGGACAGGGAACACACACAGGAGGCAATGAAGAGGCACAGCCAAGCAGCAGAGGCGACGGCCTAGTGAGAGGGGCAAGAAAGAAGAGTCAAAGATGACCCCACAGTTTTGAGGAAGGGGTGCTGGAAGGGCGAAGATAGCTTCAACAGAAACAGAAAGCAAAGGAAGCTAGTATGTGTGTGCGTGGAAGGAGCAGAGAGCACGAAGGCCCAGATCCTCACCACTACCCACCAGAGATGCCAACGGAAGTATGCAGCCTCCTCTTTGCTACCACAGGAGCTGGACCCAAGCTGTGTGTGCAAGCCCCAGCCCTAGGGACCATGTGGGTGTCACCCTTGACACCTCCGCTGCACCAGGAAGTCCTGAATGTCTCCCAACTCTGCTCAGAGCTTTCCACCTCCACTCTGCCTCAATTCATCAGCACCCCTCCCCATCCCCCGTGATAGTGATGGCCTCCTTCTCATCCCCCCATCTTCATTCTTGTATCCTCTAATTCTCCACATAGTGCCCAGAATAGTCTGCAAAACATGAATATGGTCACGTTGCTCCTCTTGCTTCAAACCTTTCACCCCACTCTGCCTATAAGGGTCTGCTCGGCTGATCAGCCCCTGCTGATGAAAACACCTCTTCACCTCAAGTCTCACCTTCCCCCTCACCCTCAGGAGTTCCTGCTAAATGGGCCAGCTTTCAGGCTCCCTCATGCACCACAACCCCTCTGGCCAGCAGGCTCTGCTCGCACTGCTCCCCTGCCACTACAGGCCTCCTTCAAGGCTGCAGACTCAACTCCAGACCACAATAAAGCAACAATAGCAATAAAGCAAGTCACATAAACTTTTTGGTTTCCCAGTACATATAAATGTTTACACTACACTGTAGGCTCTGAAGTACATAACAGCATTATGTCTAAAATAACACTGTACATAGTTTCACTTAAAAATACTTTATTGCAAAAAAACATGACAGAGATACAAAGTGAGAACATGCTGCAGGGAAAATTAGCACTGGTGCAGGGCTACCACCCATCGTCAATTCGTTTAAAAAAAAAAAAAAAAGGCCAACAACAAACAGGGGTGCAGTACCAGGGGGAGGTAGAATAAAGTGAGGCATAATGTCTGCATGCAGCCCTCCCCCATCCCACCTAGCAAACACCTCCTCCCAGGCACAAACCTTCAAGCCAGGTCGTACAGAACTATCTTTTCCCTCCCACTCACCACTGACAACAGGGTTGCCCAGGACAACCGTTACCTCAGGTAATAGAGGGTCTTTTTGGAAAAACTGCCTCAAAAAATAACACAACCCAAAGCAGATTTTCTTTGTATACATTTATGACTGATCTCCCCAAATTTACAACAGCTCCTGGGGAGCAGGACACCACCTGTCATTGCTTTCAGTAGAAACAGAATTGCACTGGCCCCAGAAAGGAGCCAAAAGTAAACTTGCCAAAACTTCAGTCCAACACTAAAAAATCTAAAGCAAATCCCAAGAATAAAGTTAAACACCTGCAGTAGGAACTGAAACGTTTAGGATTCACGGGTCACAGGAGGCTCAAAATTTGTTTTGGGAAAAGACACAACATGACAGGAAACATGGGTCAGATGTTTGTCTGCGACACACGCAGGTCGGGGGTCACACGGGGGCAGCACAGACCCCACGCAGCAGCGCCATGAGGACCAGGTCACCCCACGTTCCCTCACCTGTCGAAACCGCTTTAGGTGTATGATGAGCACGTCGGGCAGCGTCCAGAGGCTCAGCGTGATGCTCCCCTGCTGCAGCTGCTTGCAGTGCGGGCAGCGCCAGGCGTCATCCGGGGCGAGCTGAAAGGGAGCAGGTGTTAAGCACCACTTGAGGTAGGCTCACGGCAGACAGGGGGCTCGTTTCCTGCCAGGACACTGCCGAGAATCTCTCCAGAAACTACACTGACAGAAGTTCATGGCAAAACATGGTCAATTAGCACCCAAACGCTGGCTGAGTAGGCTCTCCTCAAAAAGGAACAACTGAGTAGGTAAATACTGCAGAGAGGATGTTCAATGTCATGGAGAAGCACCTCAAGTTCAGCATGGGCCCAGACTCCCCTCAGCATCTTCCCATCACTGCAGTTGTCTCTCTCCTTCCCTACATCCGGCCTCTGCAAATACACTACCACCCACCAGAGGCAGAACAATGGGGGGTGGTCATCACAGACCTGCAAGCCCTTCCCCTCCTCCTCTCACTCCTCATCCACCCAAGGTAGTTCTCTCTCTGCCATTCTCAAACCTGTCTCTTCTCCTCCCTAGCAACTCAACCCAATCCAAAGTCCTCACACTTTAAGTCTTCCAACTGTTCGTTCTCCCCAAGGTCCTAAACTACTCCAAATAAATCCTCCCCGCTGAAACTCCACCTGCAGCCTCAAATCCATGTTTGCCACCTTGCAGGCAAGCGTTTCAGGATGGAGACATTAGAAGTTAGAGATGCTGGTAGGACATATTTGAAGAGAGATTTTTAAAATCTACTCTGGATTTCAGAAGATGTATTAGATGTGGGACAATCAAGCCACAGGAATGGATGGCACTGCCCACCAAGATAGGAGAGATAGCAGCCAAGGACAGACTCTCGGAGAATGCCTACCCTTTTAAGGGAAACATATAAGTTGAGACCCCACCACAGCCTGAGGATTCCTAGAAAAACAGGCACAAGAGAACTGTCCCCATTTTACACAAACCAAGTTGAGAGCATGGCAAGAACAAGGTGGCTACAGGAACCACATTCGAAGGAGAGGTCAAATGCAGACTGAGTGAGAGCCACTGTATTCAGCACTCGAGGGGCCCGAGAACATCAGGGAGCAGTGTCAGAGATGCAAATCAGACAGAAAGTGAGAGGTTTGGGAGGAGGGATGAGCACTGACACTAGTCATGTGAATCTCGGCAGAAAGAGCAGGAGAAAGGCTGGCGTGGTCATCTACAAGGGCAACCAAACAGGGGGAATCCTTTCTTCATGCCATGAGGGAGAGTTAGTCATGTTTACAGGAAAGATGGGCAGAGGCAGAATCTGGGGACTAGAAAGTTACACTGAAAGGGATTTAAACTGTGATCTGGCCAAGTCCATGTCTGTGTGTTATGTTAACATTCTACATATAAGGCCATCGAGCCTGGTACTTGTGCTAAAGGAGTGAGGTTTTGTTTATTTCTCCCATACATTACAGATATTTCTTTTTTTTTTTTTTTAAAGATTTATTTATTTATTTACACAAGCACTGGGTACAGTCAGAAGCGCGGGAGGGTGAGAGAATTCACCAGAGCCAGAGCGGGGAGCAGAGCAGGCAGAAGGACCAAAGGACACTGCTGAGGGGAGCAGCGGGCGGCAGGAGGGGTCTGCGCGCCATGTGGGACCTTCCTCCGGTGGCCGGGGAGCAGCCGGGGATCGAACCGGCGCTGCCGAGGCTGCGGGCAGCTTCGCAACCCAGCGCTCAACCGCTGCGCCACCGGGGAGGCCCCACATTACAGATATTTCTATGAAGATACATTAACAATGTCTTGACAGAGTCTAATAGCCATGACAGTTTCTACCTCTCTAGAGGTGTTCTCTAACTTATGCATGTATCTCTCTCACTTATGCACATATCTTGTAAAAAAACAGCTAAAAAGAGCTCCCAGATCCCAGATCTGCAGACCACACTTGGAATATCACTTATCTAGTGAACTCTACTGAGCCAAAGACTCGGGGGGTTGGGGGGTGGCGGGGACAGGGTATGCTATCTCAGTTAGGCAGCGGTTTCATTTTCAGATAGTCTATTACAAAGTTCTTTCCCATGTTAAGACAAAAATCATTCCCCCTATAATTTCTAATCTCTAAATTCAGTTTTTTAGAGGAGATGAAGTCCAACTCCTCATGGACAGGACAGTTCTTTAAGTGTCTGAAAATAACTCTGAGATCCTCGTTTGAAGGCTCGCTTCACCAAAATATACTCAGCCTGTCGTGCCTTCCTCCTCATTTGTGATTCATTCTCTCTGGTTGTGACCCACTGTTAAGTCTCTTAACAGTGAACATTTAAGGAAATGTTCATTTATTATGTTTAAGTAATATTCATTTATTCATTCATTCCAGCACATACTGAATGCCTTCTATGTGGCAGGCACTGCTGCAGAGACGTGGATTATCTGATGACCAGGTTGGATGCTCTTGGTGTTCTTTCTTAACCCCTGTAGTCCAGTCACACTGGCCTCCCCTCTTCCTCACCCACACTAAGTCCCTTCCTACCCTAAGACCTTTGCTCCCGTTATTAACTTGTTTATCCCCAGTAGACTGTAAATAGTTCAAGGCCTTGAACATTGCTGTCTTGGTCCCTGCTTTATGCCTAGTACCTAGCATACTCAGAACATTCTCAATCACCATTTAGAGGATGACTCCCTTTTAAAATGTATCTTGTGGCAACATACATCTGAGATGGTGTGAATCTATTCCCCTAAATCAAATACAGTGTTGTTAGCCACTGTTACTGCAATAAAGAAAAAAAATAAATATTAAAAAATTTTAATGTATCTTGCTAGTTTGAACTCATCTTTTTAGGTCAGTGGGATGTCCTGTAGACTACCAATGCTGTCATCGAATAGATCTGCTCACCTTTGAGCTCTGTGCCATTCTCAAACACCTCCCAAATTTAGGGGGGAAAAACGAAAAAAAAAGCTACATCAATCAAGGTGCGACACAGAACCTGCCAGCAACCAGTTTGAAAGTCAACTTTTTTATAAGCCCACAACTGGATAAATACGTCTTATGAAAAAACATTATTAAAGGAACAAACTATGAAAAACCCGGGAGAGAAAAGACTCAGAACATGAAAAGTATTTTCAAGTATCTGATGTTTAAACAACTAGAAGAAATACTTGTCCTCAATTCTTGTTAACAAACTCAGCAGAGATAACACTTGTTGGATGTAATACCCCTGGGACAGACTTCATGTTAGCTTGAATTTCACTTTAGCAGAGATTTCCAAAGAGGAAATGGTGTGTCTCCCGAACAGCTAAATACTTCATAACTCACAGGTATGCAGAACAACACAACCAACAGAAAAAGGTAGTTCTAACTCCCGTCCCCTGAAATTGCATGACTTCTTACACACCAGTGTGAACAGTCAAAATTATGATCTTACCCATCAGCTGAAATAAGATGTACTCCAAGTATTCTACTCAGGGTTTCTCAAGATGTATAAATCTGGAGAAGTTTAAAAACCACACAAGCCTGGGCTTCATCCAGACTTGTTTATCCACCTACTGCCCATTCATTCATTCAAATAGCTACTGCACCCCACTACCTGCAGAACTCTGTGTTCATGGCCCAAAGGAACTTTCAGTGTCAATCTGCACTGTCCAACCTGAGAGGACCTGCCATGTGCCTGCTGAGTAGCCACACTGTGGCTGAGGCAGGGGAGGAGCTGGATTGTTCTTTCACTTAAATTTTAGTTAATGTAAGCTTAAATTTAAATAGGTCCTGGCACCTACATCCTTTGTACAAATAAGCTGAAAATCACTACTCTAATTACTGAAAAAATAAATATAAAATTTCTGAACTGGAACAAAAATTTATTAACGATTATTATAAAAGAAAAAGAATAGACACAGAAGTTCAATTCTACAGAATTAATCAAGGGTTTGTAGAAATCTGAAACACTTGTTGTTAAAGTCCTAAGAAGAAGAACACCAAGACACCCATTCCATGCACAGAACCTATGCACACGCAGAAACTGCTGGGAGTTTCTTGGCACATGATTTGTTTGCCATGGTCGTCGTGCCCTCCCCATCACCCTCATTACCCACAAAGAGCTGCCCTGCCTCTCACCCGTTCCTCTTTGGTGTAGAGTTGGAAACACTGGGATAAAGTGCAAGTTTGAGGCTGATGATGACGCTCTTTTTGCAGACGGACACTTTCTGCATCGGGGATATACTCATCTTCGGTATTTACAAACAAGCTGCAATGGGGAAGAGGGCAGCGTTCATCAGAGACTGACTTGCAAAACTGACACGAAAAATACCATTACGGGTTCACAATGTGGCTATAAATTCGTGACCAAAAAGATCCACATGTAAGAAAGCAGAAGAGTTAGCCCAGTTTTTCTTTGTTCCAAAAGTTCTTGCGAAATTCTCAAGCTAGAAAGTTACTTTCAAGAAATAATATGGAGTTGGTGTTTATGAGATTGGCCATGAACTCTGCTGATTAACTCATATGTTCCTGTCCTTCGTGTCCAAGGGCGTGCATTTGACATAACTGATGACACTAAAGTGAGTGGGACTATAATAAAATTCAGAAGAATTGATGTGTTTACCCGTTAATGAATATATAGCTGTCACATTAGCAGCAAACAGATGTTCTAAGGTTTTGGGATCCAAACAATGTAAAGGAAAGAAAAAACAAACTGCTTAAATAAAGGAGTAGCAGTGAACTTGAATACTTAGCTGAAAAAAAAGATTTGTATTTTAGTTAATTTGAAAGATCAAAGCTAATTTAAATAATTCAAATGATGATTATAAGCACTAAGTAAAAAAATACTCACAAATCTTTTGTCTCTTTGTCCCATTCTACCACTAATTTCACATGAGCAGTGCCACCTGGTCCACAAGATTTTAATGCCCTACAGAATGGAGAAGGGGGTGGAGAGAGGAGGGAAAGGAAGTCACATTATTTTCTGCATAAATGATTTCAATTAAATATGGATCTGTCCTATCTGAAATCATAAATGACTGAAAATCCCCCTCACTGTTTCCCATCAGAAAAGCCTATTATATCCTCATAATTAATAACTAGATTACAATTGGACTGAAAAGTTCTTCAAATATTCAATCTAGAAATTAAGAGATTGGATGAAATTTTACATCACATTGTAAGACTGCCAACTATCTATCATTCTTTGATGTTCTTTGCGGCCTTTCCAACCTTTGGTCCAATTCTCACACAATCATGTCCCTGAGAACAAAGTCTGATCAGCACCTCTCCGCCTCCCTCTGTAGCATGCCTGAGCCCTTGGACTAAGTCCACACCCGTGTAAACTGGGCCCTTCCTACAAAGTCCGCCCCCCCCCATCAAGTTCCACCTTGGAGCTTTATGAGTCCCGTGGGTTCCTTGGCTCACGGCCACCCTGCGCAAGTTGGTATTGTTAGTCAACGTTACTCATACTTTAATGTTTTGGATCATTACCTAGTTTTTTAACGCTAAACCCAATCAGTGGAATGCTTTCAAACAGAACCATGTTGTAAGCTGTATTGGAATCCTGAAAGGCAGGCACTACAATATTTGTTGAAAAAAAACACATGATAATAGAAACAATGATGTGAGTTTCTACAGTTAAGCATCCACATATGAATGGAGTGTGTGCATGTATTGGCCATCATTTTATTAACACAGCAGAGTGCTGTAATCTAACACAAGTACGGAGAAAGCACAGAGGCAGCAGGGGAGAGGAGAGTGACTAGTTCCAACAACAAAGAAAACCACACGCGCCAAGCAACACCTAAGTCCACATCAGGCTCACACAATGCTGAGAACTCTGATGGTGCTGAGGTTTAAGACAGTGGGGAGAAGAGAGAGGCCTGACAAAAGGGAAATAATCAGGGTTCAAGCCATGAAGAACTTCATTCACTGTGGAATTTCAACTTTTAGGCCACTGGTCACCACTCAAGGAGTTTAAGGAGAAAAGCAGGATGATCAGAATTCTACTTTGGTGAATATGGAAGTATGATTTCTCTCTAGTCCTAGGACATACATTAATCTGCTTTCCTACCATGAGTACTTCAGTATTAAAGATCCTAAGACATATACTCAAATATGAATCGAAAATAAAGTAAGTCCTTATTTTCTAAATGAGCCAAAAGAACCTGCCAAGCTCAGGTGGAAACCACGCCACAGGCACTGGACTGCACGCAACACAGCTACCGTGGGGACAGGGGAGCAGGCGCTTACCTTTCCACTGTCGGGTGGCACAGGGGCTGCTCCTCCTGAGGCAGCAGGTACGTTATTCCCACAACACTGACCACGCGCAGACTGAATGGACAAACCTGCATCAAACGGTAAAGGAGAACAGGGCTGAACCGCCCTCCAGGGCAGCTGCTTCACTGTGGTATTTCTGAAACAGATTAGCGGGGCAGCAAACTGACATTCTGAAAATGCTTCTCTATAGTATTCTGCTGGCCTGTTGAGCTACTCAACACACTGTAAATATGAATTACCCAAAAGCAATGTACATATCAAATGGGCCATGTAAGACAAGTGATATATTGTTTTAGCTCAACATTCACTTAATGAAGCCCTCTAAGCACACCTTCACACAGTGAACCTAATTTTGAAAATACAAATATTCTCCAAAATCTCTCCTAGCTGATCACGGACTAAACTGATTAGACAAATATTACAAAAGAATACACAGCAGCTCAAGGATAATCTTGAAGGAGCCAGGTCCCTTCATAAAATGAAGCCTAAGTCCTCAGTCCTGTCACTCTGGACACAGCTGATTTTATTAAACATCTCCTCACCGGGACTTGCCAGAATTCCAGCTCAGTGTCTGGTTTTTTCTAAGTGCGAAGGTCTGAATTTCTAAATTCACCATAAGGATTGTTCTTCATCAGGTCCCACATGCTATGTTGGAATATCAAAATGTTACATACCTGGATGCAAACCGTGGGCCTCAAGAAATACTTCATCTTCTCCAAGATTTCCTTCTGCAGGACGTCCCACGCCACCGTCTTCTCCAAGTGCAGCACAAAAGGCAGTCCGAACCTAGCACACAGAACCAGGGCATGCGCCTTAGCAGCATGGTGGTGCCTTTAACATTCTAATTCCTTGTTCATGATCTCTTTAGATGAAATCCCCATCCAATTAGTTTTACAACAGTGCTCAAAATAGAACAAAATAGAAAAAATTTAACAGTAACTCACAAGTAGATGGAAAAAGTTAGAGGAGAAACTTAGATTTCTAAATGAGATTTAATAGTTCTTATACCAAAAAGCTTCCAGGGGAGTACAATGCTCAGCTATCAGGTAGCAAGGACAGGACTGGTGGAGATGGTGAGATAAGAAGGCAGGAGTGGACACTAGGCTGGGAGACAGCATGGGTCAGAATGAAAACAGTTGGCTCCAGAGAACAGACTGGGCTATGGGGTCCTGCAGGCAGGCAGCCCTCTCCTGGCAGTCTCACTACAAGGAAGGCAGGGGCAAGCAAGCCATACTGAAGCCAGCTGTCACCTGGGGTGAAGCCACGTGGGCCCTGCTGGTGTCTTAGGACAGTGCTGGGGTCACGGGTATGAGAGAATCAGAGACAGCACCGTGGTTTTCAGTCTTTTCTACGCACCGACATTACCGGTGCCCAAGAGCAGCCCCCTGAGATTCTGCTGGTCACTAGCATCTGGCTCAGACACCAAGATTTTTCAGGAGCTTCCTGTACACACAGCAAAGGTGGAGACTCATTAGCCTCACCCCTCCTACTTAAAAGTCATCTTTTACGCATCTCCTTGTATCCACAGGGAGACCCAGCAGAGGACTCCCTCCTGGAACACCTGCTGGTGTGATCCCGTACTCTCTCTACCACAACGCCAACTATACCATGATGCAAATACCACCTGTTAATTTTACTGCCTCCACCAACTAAGTTATTGACAGCAAGAACTGAGACTTATTTATCTTAGTAGCTCCAACAGTCAATGCCTAAAAAACAGTAGCTGCTTAAGAAATGAATGAACAAACGGATGAACCCTGATTTGGCCTGAAGCAGAGGTACTAAGAGCACCGGAACCCTGTTCCTAACAGCCATCAGTTTACTCACAGTATTACTCAACCTGAAACCCCTCTGCCTAAAAACTATTAAGAGGTGAAGTTACAAGCATATATAAATCAGCAGCTGCATTTTTCACATAATGAGTTCTTCACCTCTAAGAGAACGGCATCAAGAGGGGGATCCCACGAGCTTTCCCTTTTATAATAAAAACAATGAGCTGCCTCTCCTGCCCTGCAAACACGCCAAGCTCCTTCACTGCCAGTGCTTTGTCCTCCTCCTCCCCAGAGTCTCAGAGCTCACACCCTCTCCTCACTGGGGCTCAGCTACCGACCTCCCTAACAGGGTTGCACCAGACCCTACCAGCACACTCTACCCTACTAAGCTGTTTTAGCCTCCTCAAAGTGGCGATGAGTGAGACTGAGTGTGTTTACTCACTGGCAGTCACTCTGTCCCAACCAGCCTGCAAGTATCCTGAGAACACGAGCCTGTCTCAGTCACTGCTGGGTCCCTAGCGTTCATAGCTGTGCCTGACTCACTGCCAATAGGAAAACATTTGCTAATAAACATCATAAGTATACAAATCAACACATTTTCCATTTATGCTATTTAATATCCTTAAGTAAGGAACTTATTTCAAAACAACATTTAAAAGGCTACCCTGACAAATATCAGGAACAAAGAGTTCTTTCTCCCTAAAACATATCTATTATCTTGTTATTACTCAGGTTACATTACTGTTGGGGCAAAGTTACTTTAAAAGATAGTCTAAAACTCCCAAATTCTTACAGAGGGAAACACACAGATTTGAGAGACTTTTGACTCCCAAATTTCTGAGTTATGCAGCTCAAAGAACAGTTGTGCCATTTGCTGAAACAGGCTGTACTGGTGGGTCCAGTTTACAGGGAAAGATAATGAGTTCAGTTTGGGACATGAGAATGGGGTACATGTACCATCCAGTGGGCAAAGGAAGAATTAAAAAGAAAAAAACTAGACAGCAGCCTGGATATACAGCACACCAAGAGAAGCCAAAGATGAAAATACACATATAAAATGGACCTTTAAAAAACCAAATAGGCTTTAAGATTCTAACTCAGATTCTATCATCCTAATTTTACATTCTTTCCTTCCAACCCCTCAAATCGGGTCAACTTACACACATTTTTTTTCCTGAATATCAGAATTAAAAACTACTAAAACTAAGGAGTTTCCATCCTTACCTTTTAAAATATTTGAAAACTCAAGAGACTTCTGAAGTCTCCACGCTTACTGGCAGAAGAGTTAGTTTTTACCTTTTCCCTTGCTGCCCAGTACAGGCTCGGTTACATATTAGCAGCACAATCTTATCGCTTCCCGCCCTGGTGGGGGGCAGATCCATGTTCCCCTGCTTTGCCGCTGCTTGTGTAGGAGAAGGCAGTCTATGGTGATCCAAACCAAATTTCAAGTGGTTTAGATTGTTGTTTAAGTGGATTCCTGAAACAGAATAAAAACCTGATTTTATCTCTCTAAAAATCTTCTCAGTCATTCATTACAAAAAAAAAATGTACTCGATACAGAAATTAACAAGTTGCCTTTATATAATTTAAATTGCAATCAAAACAGAGGCCAATGGTCTACTTCGAGAGTGCTCATCCAGCATTACCAGAATGTCTCCAGCAGCCTTATGTCCTTTAAACTCTGGATAGCTTTATCTATCTTAACAACTGAAAATTAACATTCTTCATTCAGTGAATATTAGATCGTTTTAGAAGGGCAGGGTTGCCGAGGTGATCCACCGAGGCAAATTCAAAGTGACACCATGCTATCAGGAACCAAATATGTGCTTTAAAAAAAATAAACACGTTCTGCAGAATGTTCTTCAACATTCCAACAACAATTTCTTCTCTCTAATTAAACAGTCAGACTTAAAAGAAACAAAAGGTAAATTAGACTTACTAGACTCATCAGAGAACATGCCAAGTGCAATGCAATCAGCAAGACTGGATCAAGCCACATCTAAGTGAGCAAAACTAGGTATCTGACCAGCACAGCACTGGCTGCTGCCCTGGGTTGTAGAGCTGGCCTAAAGCAGAGCCATCTGTCAATCAGAGCTACTCAGCAGTTCAGAGCCTAGCACAATGGCCTGCACTTAGTAGGAACTCAACAAATGCATGACTAAATAATTCATCTCTTTAATCCTTTGGAAGTATAGCCTAAGAAAATCCCCCCACTGGAGAAGAGAAGAAGCAAGTCCACCACCATCATCCAAAAAAGTAATAATACACCAGAAAGAGAACAAAATAAAAAGTGGTTAACACAATAATAGTCATAACAGAATTCTGGCAACAACCTAAATATCCAGCAACGTGAACCTTGCCAAACCCATTAAGGTATTCCAGCATTACTGTGATCCCGGGTGATGAGCAACAGCTAAGATGCCAAAGTTAATGCCAGATGAATCCAAGTTCAAACAAGAACACAGATTAGAAATAAGGAAAAACTGAATCTTCATCAGACTAGTAGAGGGAAGAAAACTGTTTAAGCTTAAACACCATAAAGAAATCACAGAAAGAAAAGCAGTGGGTTTTACTTCATAGTGATTTTAAACTTTGGTATGGAAAAAATAAAAACAGTAGTCTGAATTGGAGACAATGGATGACCTCGTTTCCTAAGTTCTTGGCAAAGGAAGGCCAGAGGACCTGTTCTGAACAGAAGCAGGGTGCCTAACCAGACGAGGTGATGCTGCACCAAGTCAAGTTTTGTGTTCAATCATGCTTCCTCCGGCTGTGCCACTGGGGTCAGTTACGCACATCTCAGCTGGCCTCACCGTACGTGGGCAAAGCAGCAGTGTCAAGTATGAGTGAAAATACTGATGTGGCCTTTAGAACAGAGGCTAACAAATACTCAATAAGGGTGCAATCTTCTAACAAAGCAGCCTGGGCAGGAGTGTGACAGCCTGGGCCTCACCAAATTTGCTTGTAAACAGAAACTTAATGTTAACCCTTAGCAATCAAGGTAGGAAGAGGGATTCAGGAGCATTCTCAATTAAACAAGTATTAACTAGGCCTTTTCTGTATGTTAAGAACTATAGTGAACTGTTGGGTACAGAAGGATGAAGCAAACCATCGTCCTAAAAGGGGAGAGCTTCAGTGTGGTGAGAACAGACCACCCCCACACTGCATGCTAATAACCAGAGATGAGCACAAGTTCTGACTGCAGCACAGAAAAGCAGGAACCAGCCAGCCTGGCTGGGGGTAGTGAGGAGAGGTTTTCTGGACAAAGTAAGGAGTGGGCATTTTTTTACTGTCATGCAATTAAAATTAGAAAACAATTTAAACACACAAAAGCACATGCATGAAAACACAACTAGAAAACCAAAAAGCTCCTGGGTGAAAAAAGAATGAAATCTGAAATAACAAGCTATCTAGAAAATAATGTAAATATGAGTAAAACAAAGAAAACTGAATTTTAACTGGGCAGTGGGAAAATATGAATAACCCAATATACAAAACTACCAAGAGTTTCAGAAACTAGAGGTATCAGACCTCTGGAAGTAGATGAAGGAAAAGAGGAACTAAAATCAAGTACTTTCAACAAGGGCATCAAGACCATCCAATGAGGAAAGAGCAGTCTCTTCAACAAATGGAGCTAAGACCACTGACTGGCTAATCTGCATGCAAAAGAATGAAACTGGAACCAGACTTCAAACCACACAAAAATTAATTCAAGTAAATCAAAGACCTGACTGTAAGAGCTAAAACTGTAAAACTCCTAGAAGAAAACACAGGGGTCATCTTTATGACCTTGGATTTGGTGGTCTATTCTTAGATATAATAATAGCAAAAGTATAAACAACAAAAAAAGATAAATTAGACTTCAGACTTCATCAAAATTAAGAGCTTTTGTGCCTCAAAAGACATTATCAAGAAAGCAGGTGGGAGAAAATATTTACAAGTCATATATCCTTACAACTAACAAAAAGATAACCCAATTTAAAAACGAGGAAAGGACTTAAATAGACATTTCTCCAGAAAGAATGTACAAAATAGCCAAGAAGCACGTCAAAAGATCATTTATCATTAAGAAAATGAGAATCAAAATGATAATGACATACCACTTCACACCCACTAAGATGGCTATAATCAAAAAGACAGAAAACAACAAATGTTGGCAAGGATATGCAGAAATCATAGCCCTCATGGGTTGTTGGTGGGAATGAAAATTGATGCAGCTGCTATAGAAAACAGTTTGGCAATTCCTCAGAAAGTTAAACATAGAATTACCTTATGACCCAGCATTTCCATTCTTAGGTATACACCCAAAATAACTGAAATCAAGTATCCGAACAGACACTTATACATGAATGCTCCTAACAGCACTATTTCATACCAGTCAAAAGGTGAAAACAACCAAATGCTCATCAACAAATAAACAAAATACAGTATGGGCTTCTCCCCCTAAATACCACTCCTATTTTGTATGACTTGGGTTATTCTGGGGGCTGAGAATGCTCAACAATCTTCCCACGTACATTAACAGTAACAATTTTCCCACATACATTAACGGTAACAATTTTCCCACAGACATTAACAGTAACAGCATTTCCAGGCCCCAAAAATAAGTTACCAAGCAGTACCTGATAGTAATTTTCCTCTTTCAGGCAATGGAGGGAACCTGTAAAAACATCTCACGGAATACTATTCAGTCACAAAAAGGAATGAAGGACTGACACAATCTACAATGTGGATGAGCCCTGAAACGTTATGCTAAATGAAAAAAGTAAGATACAAAATAGGCTACATAAAGTATGACCTCCTTTATATGAAATACATAGACTGGGTAAAGTCAGAGACAGAACACAGCCTTACTGGTTGCCAGAGGCTGGCAGAAGGCAACAATGAGAAACACTGCTTAGTCGGTAGGGGGTTTTCTGTGGGGGTGAGGAAAATGTTTTGGAACTAGCTAGAGGTGGTGTTTGCACATCACTGTGAATGTACTACGTACCACTAAATTGTACATTTACCATGGTTAATTCTATTATGTGAATTTCACCTCAATTTTAAACAAGGAAAGTAGGGTAGTGGGGGAAACTAATGATAAAAAAATTGAAAAGGAAAGCAAGGACTAGTTGAAACTTGTCTGAAAAGCAAACACTTAGCTTGCTTCTCTGACATGGTGCAGCCAAGATCTCTTTCTCCCCTGCATTCCCTTCACAAAGATCCCTGGACTGGGGAACAGTCCAGGTGAAAGTAAGGGTAGTATACTGAAGCAAGGGAAAGTGACCCTACCTCACCAAAAACCCAGGTGCTGACAACCAGGCCTCCCTCCAACAAGAGAATCCCCTCCAGGGACTGTCCTAGAAGCTAGGACAGCTTCTTTCTTGGAGCTATCCAAGAAGACTGCCTTGAGGATCAGTTACTGTATCCTACAGTGAAGTTCACGGTCAGGAAGTCCCACCCAGCACTCACAAGAGGTTCCACTTGACTCTCAGGACCAACACTTAAGCAGAAGCAGAAGATCAAGGCTAACTTTGCTTAAGAACTGAGGAAAGGTCCCAACATGAATGGACAGACACCAGCACAGAGAGGGAAAGGAGCAGGGTGAGAGGGAGTGGGGCTAAGAGAAAACATAGAGATGGAAACTTTCTAAAAACTACCAGTAGTATCCTCAGGAAGATAAAATATGTACCTCAACCATGGAACGGGAACCAGACAGTATTTAAAAACAGAATGTAAGAGCCACGCTCCATTATCTGGCGAGCAGTGGGCAGTCCCGGGTGCTGCTGAGTTGTATGCACTGAAGGAGGGTTCCAGCTGCCCACAGCAGGAGCACCTCGGGCTGCAGGAAGCATGAATGTCTTTCATCTTTGAGTGGATCCACAATGGCTCCAGCAGAGTGCTCCAGTTCCTAGGAGTCTACAAGGACTCTGGCAAACCCGTATTTTGGGGTTTGGACAATGCAGACAAAACCACTTGGCGACACATGCTCAAAAATGACAGATTGGGCCAACATGTTCCAACATTACATTCGACATCAGAAGAGCTGACAACAGCTGGAACAACTTTTACAACGTTTGATCTGGGTGGGCATGAGCAAGCATGTTGGGTTTGGAAAAATCATCTCCCAGCAATTAATGGGATTGTCTTTCTGGTGGACTGTACAGATCATCCTCATCTCGTGGAATCCAAAGCTGAGCTGAGTTTTAATCTGTTTTAATGACTGATGAAACAATAGCCAATGTTCCAATTCTTATTTTGGGTAGCCAAACAGACAGCACAGATGCAATCAGTGAAGAAAAACTCTTTGTCAGGGAGACGGGACCCTGCCCGCCCCATGGAAGTGTTGCGGTGCAGTGTGCTCGGGAGGCAAGGCCTCGGGGTTGGGGGTGGGGCGTCGGCTGGTTCTCCCAGTGAACTGGCTGATGTGTGGACCGTGAAATCAGTTTCACTTCTCTGGACTGATCCTATTCACAGCTTCCTCATGAACTTTCCTGG